CCCCTCCCCCCCCGCACGACCCCGCGGCGACAGTTCGACTCTGAGAAAAACCTCGGCCACGAAATGAGAGTCTCCCGTTCCGTCCGAGAGACTCAACGCTTACGGCAAAAAATCCTCGGCCACGCCCCTCCTAGAACTCTGATCGGCGACCCCGTACGGGAAGCCGCAAGGGGGCGTGAGGTTGCGTATCACATGCCGTATCCCTGGGGAAAAATCCCGCGGAAGCCCCAAAGTATGGACGCGGATAGAAAGGGGTTTTTCTTTCTTTTTGCTTTTGTTTTCTTTTTGAAACGGCTTTTTCATTTTGTTTGGTTAATAACTCCTAGAGGTGAATAGCGGCCGCGGTATGAAAACCAAGAAACGGGTGCGGTTGGGACTTTTTGAAATTTTGCGCGCACGCCCAAGCTCCGATTTCTTCGCGCGTCTCGCATCCCCATTTCTTGCTTTGCATCCTCGCGCCATCTTCCCTTCTTGCTGCGCGCGTTTTCCCCATGCAGGACTCTTCGCCTTCCCCTACGCCCATCTTGATCCTTACCCCGTCTTCCTCCGCGAAGTGATTGGCTGCATAGCTGGGATGCTCGGATCAATGTGGAAAGCGGGAAACCGCGCACCACTTGGACGAACACCCCAATCATGTAGCCATGCAATCCCGCGGGTCGAACCCTCTAACTCCCCACCTCTCTCTCATGTCCTGCTCATCTACACCCTGCGCTGCCCGCACCTCGCGCTGTTAACCCGCCGCCTCCCGCGCTATAAATTTGTGCAACCCTCTCCTCTCCTTCTCTTTGATCTCGGCTGCAATGCTGCGCGAGCTATGCGCGAGAGAGTCTGTGGCGCCGAACAGTCTCGACGAGCCCAAGGACGGGCAGAGTGATGACGTGGGGTGGACCCCGCGGTAGTCTCGGGGCGAAGGAGTCGGAGGGACTGAGCAGTGGTGGGGATTGGACGCCGACCGCGACAGGGCCTTGTGGCTATGGTGGTCGGTGGTCTTGGGAAGTTTTGAAGGCTGCGCCTGGGGGCAGCAGTTTATTGAAATTTTTGTGTACAAGAAGGACTCGCTTTTATCTCCATTGCTGCTTTGTCTATGCATGTCGTGTGTGTGAAGCCCCGAGTAATGGGAGCTGGTTATGCGCATGAGTGACGTCGAAGGTCCATGGATGATTAGATGTCCTGTCAAGGGTCGTTGATTGCATGCATGYATGTGTGTATGTACTCGTCAGGGAGTGGATGGGAGACTGAACTGGGGGACCGTCTTCTTAGGAGTATGAGTGTGTTGATCTAGTTGTTCCCCTCCCCTCCGCGGCCTTTCCTGCGCTCTCGCGCGGTCTTGGCGTAACTCTCTCTCTCTCTCCCTTTTCGATCGCCTTCCTTTTGAACTAACAGTCATCGCCTTTTAGAGCTTCTCGTCCCCGTACCGGTGACGTCCACCGCCTGCGTCCGCGTGGACGGTCGACGCCCCCGCCAAGGGGAAAAAACTTAGATTTCGTCACCCCCCCCCCCCTACGCACCCACTTTTGAGAGAGAAGCGTTGCGACGATTGTTGTATGGATTCGGTGTTGGTTCGGATGACCGGGAATGCGGGATCTTGCCCGTGTTCACCATGTAC